CCCCCAGCTCCTCCCCAGAGACATCACTTGGAACTCTTTTTGTTGTTGTTTTCTCTCTCTTTTTAAGGACTGTATTGAGATGTAATTCACACACAGTTCACTGTAATTCACACACACTTCAAAGTCTAATTCGGTGACTGTGAGTACATTCACAAAACTGTGGAGCCATCACTGCAGTCAATCTTAGAATATTTTTTATCACTGCCCCCCCACCCCAAGAACCCCATCCCAACCATCTATGTGCTTTATGGATTTGCCTATTCTAGATATTTCATATAAATGAGATAATACAAGACGTGGTCTTCTGTCGTCACTTAAACAATAAGCTTGCTCAGTTGTAGGCATTAAACGTGGACCTACACCAGGGAAAATGAGAGTGTGTCAGGCGCATTCCTTACCACTGAGCTGCCAGGGAAGACCCTGATTTATTCAAATGTTTGCCTTCCTAAACTGCCCTTTTAAATTTCGTTTCTCATTTTTATCCTGTGGCTTTTGGCTTTACTTTTTGGGAAATTTCCTTAACGTTATCCTCTAATCTTGAATTTCTTTTCTGTGATAATAGTTTTAATTTTTAAGAGCTCAATTTTCTCAATGTTCCTTTAAAAATTTTTTCATTTATTTTTATTAGTTGGAGGCTAATTACTTTACAATATTGTAGTGGTTTTTGCCATACATTGACATGAATCAGCCATGGATTAGGCATCACTGACTCAATGGACATGGGTTTGGGTGGACTCCGGGAGTTGGTGATGGACAGGGAGACCTGGTGTGCTGCGGTTCATGGGGTTGCAAAGAGTCACATACGACTGAGCGACTGAACTCTTAGAAAACATATTTTTGAAAATGAGGCTGCTTCTCATCCCCTCCTAAATAAATAACACTTTGTCATTCCCCACACTCTTTAATAACACTACCATCTCCTGATGCCCTCTGCACAGTCTCTGGTCTCTCTCTAAATTAGCTGTGGATCCCATCTTTGTCTCTACTCTCAATAGAACTGGCCCTTTTTCCGGAAGCTGAGGTCATCTGACCCCATGAGACTGGAGAGCTCAGTTCTTTTCTACTGCTATTGACAGGTGGCAAGTGATGCCAGGACCCAGCCTTGATGAGATGTTACAGAGAGGGTGCTATAGGTGTGTGTGCATGTGTGTGCAAGTGTTGAGGGTATCCTCTCAGGCTGTGTCAGGATGGCCTGTGTGTGTGTATGTTGAGGGCATCCTCTCCCCTTGGACCTCAGCTGTGTCAGGACAGCCTCTAGCTGGGTCAGCATTTGGAAGGGGAGAGAGGGGGCCAAGGATGCTGAGCTGTGTTCCCAGTGCTCACTGTTCCTCCTGGGTGTGTGGTTGCTGTTTGATGACACTGGTTCACTGATGTGAAGTCAGAACCCAAAGCGAGGGTGTGTGTATTGGGGGCTGTGCATTCTGAGGCTAGTGAGGGAAAGACGTATTGACAGATAAATTCCTGTGTTCTGTTGTTGGAGCTTCCCTGGTGGCTCCGATGGTAGAGAATCCGCCTGTAGTGCGGGGGACCCGGGTTCAATCCCTGGATTGGGAAGACCCCCTGGAGGAGGAAATGGCCTTACATCTGCAGTTCTGTTTATGACGAGCCACTGTCTTATGAGCTTTACCTGGGCACGGGGCTCTGCGGCTCCCCCAGCTGAGCTGCCGAGAGCGGCAGGGCCTTGAATGCATAGACACGGTCGGGATCAGGGCTGCTCTTTGCTTGGTGCTAAGGACACCCCATGTCGGCCCCCCTTGTTTTTTTTTTCCATTTATTTTTATTAGTTGGAGGCTAATTACTTTACATCATTACAGTAGTTTTTGTCATACATTGACATGAATTAGCCATGGATTTACATGTGTTCCCCATCCTGAACCCCCCTCCCACCTCCCTCCCCATCCCATCCCTCTGGTTGCTAAGTCGTGTCCAACTGTTTTGTGATGCTGCTGTAGGTAACCCGCCAGGCTCTCTGTTCATGGGATTTCCCAGGCAAGAAAACAGGCATGGGTTGCCATTTTCTTCTCCAGGGCATCTTCCCATCCGAGGGATCAAACCCAGGTCTCCTGCATTAGCAGGTGAATACTTTACTGACTGAGCCATCAAAACCCAAGTTTTAGCTTTTCTCAAAAAACAAACAAACAAAAAACCAAAAACAGTGTGGAAGCTCACATTCCTGCTTGGCCAGGACTAGGGACAGCTGTAACACAGCTGTCAGCTCCAGGCAGAGCCTGCGTCCTCTTTCCTTCCACCAGGGGATCATTCCCAACCTGGGAACTGAACTCGTGTCTCCTGCATTGGCAAGCGGATTCTTTACCACTGAACCACCAGGGTATGGCCCTTCCGGTTGCTTTTTGTTAGTTTTGGCCTCAACTGTTTCTCAGATACCTGATGATGCTTGTCGACTCCCATTTTGGGGGCGGGGCATCACAAATCAGACGGAAGCGCTGAGTGGTGGGTGGAGCTTGGTGACTGCGCTTCATTGGCTGGCAGCAATGTGCTCAGCTTGGTTGCATATTAGAATCAGCTGGGGAGCTCTTGAACCACTCGGATACCTGCTCTCACTGCAAAACAACTAAATCAGACTTGTCGGGGTGGGAGCCGGCGTTAGTATTTTTTGAAGCACCCCAATTGGTTTCTGTGTGTGCCCAGCGCTGAGGACCTCTGCTGTGCCTTTCTTTGTGGAAACCGAACATCTCCATCAGTAGGACTTTTTTAGTGCCAGGTCCCCAGGAAGAATCCTCTAGTCTCCTTCCTGCTAGACGAACCCTCCAGTCTCCCAGTGAGGCACTGGGAGAAAGGAGTCAGCTGGGAAAGACTGCGCTCACAACTCCCAGCTGGGAGAGAAGGTGAGGCGAGGGTTGCCCTGGAACTTTCCACGATAAAGAGGCTCTCTCTGGCCACTTGTGTGCCCCTCTAGTGACAGGAGCGGCTTCTGGAATGTATCCTTCTGTTGTCTTTTTGCTGGGTGGAAAGAGAAAAGAGAGCAGCAGGCACCTAGAGTTAATCATCATGAAATTAACAACAACAACAACAAAAAACCCAAGAACGTTTCAACACAGGAAAACAGTAGGAGTCAAACAAGACCTTCTGGGGAAGAGGGGGAGGCTGAGGCGCCTTGCACCACTTCACCGGCTCTGAGCCCAAGGCCACAGGTTTACCTATTGATCTTTGTCTGTGCTGGGTCTTCGCGGCTGCGCTGGCGCCTCTCCAGTTGTGGTGCTCAGGCTTCTCCCTGCAGTGGCGTCTCTTGTGCCGCACGGGCTCCAGGGCCTGCGGGCTCCAGTAGTTGTGGACCTTAGAGCTCAGGCTTAGTGGTTGTGGCGCTTGGGCTTTGTTACCCCACAACATGTGGGGTCTTCCCGGACCAGGGATCAAACCCATGCCTGCTGCATTGTCAGGCGCATTCCTTACCACTGAGCCGCTAGGGCAGACCCGGAGTTTTCAAAAATACATCTTTCCTTCTCATCTGCTTGGTTGAGACCTTGTAAAGAGGGGAGATGGGACTGGGGAGGAGAAGACGAGGCATCGCTTCTGGGCAGAGTGGCTGACCCTGAACACAAGGAAGTGTTTGGGGGGAAGCGAAGCCATATTAATGAGAAGAATAACCACACCTGTAGCCAGCTCGCCTCTTCCCCAGACAAGCCGGGTGAACTCTCTAAAGGAAGCTAAGACTCCTGAACCCCTCCCCACCACACGCTGACCCCTCTGAAGAGTCCGTGTGTTCTGTGTGGAGAGACAGGCAAATGCCTCTCCTGGGAGCGGGAACCCAAGCTCTGGGCATTTAGCAAATCCGTGCAAGACAAGACAGAGTCCAGGCCAACCGCACAGGACTTCTCAGAGCCCAGGTAAGTCCTTTCTTTTTTTCACGCCAGTAGATATAGGCTCCAAACAGTTTTTTGTGTTGGAAGACACACAGGTCTCATTTCAGATGGTGTGGAAGAAAGAAAAACTTCCTCCCCTCCATCTTTGTGCAGAGAGGGGGTTTGGACAGAGGCACTCATGCTGGTGTTGAAAACAATTTCCACAAAGTGAGAGCTGCAATTTGGGCTTTATTTGGGGGCAAAATGAGGACTGCAGCCCAGGAGATGTGTTTCAGATAGCTCTGAGAAAATGCTCCGAGGAGGTGAGGGAGGAGCTAGGATATATAGGAGTTTTGCAACCAAGTGCAGGTAGTCTGAACATCAGAAGGTCACCGTTAATTAAAGAGACCAGATATGTCAAGTTAAGGAATTTAGCGCTTTTTCTATGTATGGGAAGATGTAGTCTGGGCTCACTGAAATCTTCCCTTTCATATGCATCTCGGCTATTTGAGACCAGTATCCCATGTTTTCACATCCTGCCTGGGGATGAGCAATATGAATAAAAAAAGGGTTACATGGCATCTGTGCAAACACTAGAGGAAAGAAAGACAGCGGCAGAATTCATTCAGGTAGAGAAGTTAAGGAAGAGCCCACCGAGTCCTTAATTATTTTGTATTGAAGTGAAATAATTTCAGTAAAACAAGACCTTAAAGATGAGAAGAAGAAACAATAAGACTTAAGCCAAAAGGGAGACTGCAAAGCTAAGAGACCAAATTGAATATTAGAATGACAGTTTCTGAGTTAAGAAATTAGAAAAGCAATAGAATGATGATTGCAGTTGGGGGTTGACTCACAGACATTGAGGAAAGCCCTGCCATGATCTTAGAGAACGCAAAAGGGAAAAGGAGAGATAGCGAATAGACAAGGTAAAATGTATTTAGAGGACCCAGAGGATATTTGTGGGCTTCCCAGGTGGCACTAGTGGTAAAGAACCCACCTGTCAATGCAGGACACGTAAGAGACATGGGTTTGATCCCTGGGTGGGGAAGATCCCCTGGAGGAGTGCATGGCAACCCACTTCAGTATTCTTGCATGAAGAATCCCATGGACAGAGGAGCCTGGTGGGCTACAGTCCATGGGGTCACAAAGAGACACAAATGAGGGGACTTAGCACAGCACAAGGACATTTGGTGACTGAGAAATATAGAATTCAACAGACAGAATGTATAATGTGTTTAGTGATATGAGTGAATCTTCCTTAAATGAAGGAAGAACTGAACCCACAGCTCAGAAGGCACTGTCTGAAAACTCCCAGGCTGACTGACAGACGCACAGGTATAATTATGTGTGTATGTGTGTGTGTGTGTTGGTGGGAGGTAGTTATAAGTTTGAAACAATTCCAGGCATACAAGAACACTTCAGAATGAAAAAGAACTCTTGTTTTAAATATTTTATCACATTTCCTAGATCACATGCTTCTCTATCCATCCATCAGTTCACCTTATTTTCTGATATATTTCCAAGTAAGTTACAGATGTCAGTACACTTTACCCAATGCAATTCAGAATGCTTATTCATGAGAGTTCAAACTTTGTATACATTGCTTTGAAGTAAAATTAACATGCAATGAAATGCTCAGATCTTTAGATACTATTTGTTGAGTTTGGACAAACGCATAAACCTTTAGCAAGATACAGAGTTACAGGTATTTCCATCACCCTAGAATGTTTCCTCCGATCTTTATCGAGCTCTCTCCACCCAAACTGGAGTGGCAGAAGGTGGGGCTCCATGTTCCCTGAGCACAGAGGACGCTCACAGCTGGACTGGGGTGCAGCCAGGCCTCTCTGGACTCAGTGTCCCCGGGGAGGGCTCAGGCCTCGGCCAGTTGCTGCAGCATCAAGAGGGACCCGTACAGGGCAGACAGGGGCTCCTTGGCCTCCAGGTCCCAAGTCCCCTTGGGGTTGTCAGGTGCCACACTCAGACCACACTCCTGCAGCAGGCCAAAGGTGACAGCCAACCCCTCTTCCTCCAGCGAGGCGAGGAGCTTGGGATCCAGGGTGAAGGGATTGTTGCAGGGGTACAGGAAGGTGGGCTCCAGGATGCTCTTCACCTGGAGGAAACAGGGTCAGCTGTTGCAGGCCAGCCTTTGAGGTTGGGAATCAAGGCCTTCTATCCAGAGAGCCAGGGCCTCTCGGGGTCATGGGAGAAGGAGAGCGATGGAGTCAAGGGACCCAGAACTCTCCTATTCTGACCTGTGGTCAGGGTGAGCTTGGATATATTTCTGAAAATTGTTGAGCTTTGGTTCCTCAGCTGCCAAATGGTGATACTAACATCGACCTTGCTAAATAGTGTTATCTGCAATTACATGTGTACATGTGTATCTGTGCAATGTGTGCGTGTATGTGCATACATCTGTACACATATGTACTTACGTATACATATATGTGGAGGAAGACAATTTGCAAATGGTAACTATATGAGAAAAGCATGAGCTCCCACATGTACATTCCTGTGTGGCTCCTTTAGAACTGTGGGCACCCCCTGCTGGGATTGCCATGGAGGTGGAGACCCTCCTGAGGTGGACCCCATCCCCTGGGCCTGCTCCCCAGAGGGAGAGGCAGCCACGGAGTTCCCAGCGGCCACATGGCTCTGTCCCCAGTGCCAGCAGGACCTTACGTCACCTCTCCTCTCTTTCCTCAGGATCACTCTTATCCCGGTTCCCTCACCCTCGTCCCAGGACGCTGGCCCCTGGGGGTTGATTTCTCACCAGCTCCTGCTGCTGGGGCAGGATCCTCTTCTCCATGGACCAGGCCAGCAGCTCATGTTGGATATCACTCAGCACTGGGGACAAGGGGACATTTGGGGAGAGAGAGCAGTGAGGAGTCAGTGCACCACTGTGAACTAGGGGACCCCAAGAGAGGGGAACCCTGAGGCAGAGGAATAAAACCCGTTAGGTGTGAAGGTCAAGTTCCCTCCTGCTCTTGGGATGGTTTCCAGGATGCTCTGTAACACGGTCCAGACTGGAGCCTGGAATCATCCACACCTAGTGATAGGTTGGATGGACTTGGGCTGGTCTTTCTAGGTCCTGGGCTGGTTCTATATCCTAAGGTAAATTTATCTCACTGAGCCCTCCTGACCTTGCAGAGACGAATGATGTGAGATGAAGGTCATTAGAAAGATTTTAGAGAGGTGTGTGCATGCGTGCTAAGTTGCTTCAGTCATGTCCAACTCTTTGTGACCCTATGGACTGTAGCCCTCCCCGCTCCTCTGTCTATGGGATACTCCAGACAAGAATACTGGAGGGGGTTGCCATGCCCTCCTCTAGGGGATCTTCCCCACCCAGGGTTCGAACCTGCATCTCTTATGTCTCCTGCATTGGCAGGCAGGTTCTTTACCACGAGCACCACGTGGGAAGCCCCCATTAGAGAGGTGGCAGATGGCATCTAATCCCTTCCTTTCGGGTCTAGAGGCCAAATTTGTGATGTTCCCACATTTCCCTCAAGTCATTCTTACCCAGGAAGGCTTCAAGGAGGTAAATGATGTGTCTTGACTCAAGCCGCACATTTCTTGAGTTTTCCTGCGTCTCACTTAGGAAGCTGCCCGTATGAATCCAAATGTTCCCATCCAGCTAGAGGAGACCCATATTAGTAGTTAAGACAACAACAACAATAATAGTAATAGCAGTAGATATTGTTGTACAATTCTGCCAGTATCTTTTGAGTTTACAAGTGATTAACTCAGGTGGGAGGGGGAGGGCTCTTTACCTCCCCCGGGAGATTCCAAGCAGCTGCAGCACGTGGGCTGCAAACCCTGGACCTGGTCACTGCTGTGCCTATGTCTGGGGTCCCCTCCTCAGCCCTCCTTCCCCGGGTATCTGTCGTCGACCTCCTAAACCTGCCCCTTCACAGCTCTGATCGGCCTTAGGAAGAGTGGGACCCCTTTCTCACCATGTCTGTGAGGTCCTGCAGAGCCCCTTGGTCCTTGAGCTTGGCCAGGATGGTATGGAAAAGAGCATCTCGAATGTCCCTGGGGAGCTCAGCCACTGCCTCCATTTCCCTGGAAACCTCATTTTGTAGGGACTTGAAATTTGTCCTCAACATCAACATCAGCCAGAAAACGGGGGACAATTCTTTGATTAGAAGGTTTGTGGTGTGATAAGCTGGGCACCTCCATCCCATTTATCTGCCAACCAAAAGCATTTCTGCGGACGGCATGTTTGAACTCTGGGGATTAAGCTATCATAATAGGCTAGAAAGGTGGGCAGTCCTAGTGCTGAGAAGGGGCCGGGGGTAGCAGGCAGAGGGGTAGAAGTCTGGGAGGTGAGAAGAAGATTCTGGAAAGAGATCATAAGAAGTGGAAGAAAATGACCAAGCGCTTGGTTCTGGGTCATGTCTAGAACAATGTGGATTCTCGTGATGGGCTCTAGAGATGAGAATCCTAGGTGCTCTGGGCCCAGTTTCCACATGTATTGAGTGGGATGTTATGTGGATTACATGAGTTTACTGAGTAAAATGCTTGAGGGGGGGTGGGTAGCACCTGGCACGCATAGATTATCCATCTCATCGTGTAACTGCCTGTATCATCTGTGACCACAGACACAACCAAGGCATGGTGTTGGGGGTTCTCTGCTTCTCCTAGGAGACTTCAGGTGGCCTCCAGATGGTCTGCTAAGAGGGAGCAGTCCACTGAGGCAGGAATTTCTGTTTGGCCCATGGCTGTATCCCCACTGCTCAGAATAATGCCTGTTGCTCGAATAGTTTTCAGCAATGGTTTGTTGTGTGCACGCATGCATCCGTGAATGAATGAATGAATGAGTGGGGCTATACAAAGTATCAGCTGGGAAGTAGAGATCAGTTTTTTAAGTTGCATGCACGTCACCTTTTGGGTACTTAGCTTTGCAGTTTTCCACCCAGGAAGCCCCAGGTTTCTTCATAAATACTGACCTCGGCAAATGGGTTCCTGTGTTCTTCCTGGAAAGAGTCACAAGAGATCATCTCCCTTTCTCATCCCCCAGGTTTACTCTTGAGACGTTTTGGAGGGTCCTGCCCTCCTAACACCTCCTCCCTTTTGTTTAACCTCTTCCCCCCCCCCCATCCCAGCCCCTCCCTCCACCTCCTTGGCCCTCCCAGCCCCTTCCCATTCCACAGAAACTAGGGCCAGGCCCCAGGGCAGTGGTGGCAAAGCCAGGGCCATCTGCTCTGCTCTCCAGACGTGTATTTGCCATTAGGACCCCACCCCAATCCCAGCAAACGGACACTCACCGATCGGGAGGATGGGACGTCTTGTGGTGCTTAGAAGGGAAATTAAATTCCCCATCCAAGAGTTAGTCTGTGAGGATACTCGGTTTCTCTGAACTTCTGCCTACTTCCCCGAACTCCCCACTTTCTGTCCATCCCTTCCCCTTGCCCAGGGCACCAGAGCCAGCGCCACGGGTAAGGACAGCAAAGGTGAGCACATGGGACTTGGGTTGTGACGGGAGGCTTTCGGAAGGAATCGGAGCCCACTTTCCTGGCTGTAAGATCACCCACTCACCCATCGCTGATTGCATCCACCATTTCTCCGGAGAGATAAGCAGAAGGGCTCATTCGCCAAGTGTTAACCTCTCCTTCCCCAAAACACACACACAAACACACACCCTCATTACCTGTCCTGATATTCAAAGGAGAAAAGTGTTTTTCTCTGTGGCCACAAGGGTCTATGGCTTCTGAAAGAAAAGATAGCAGGCTATGGAGGAAGCAGGGTAGTTTCCCTCTGGGTCTGCCTTGCAGACTAACACCTGGGCTAAGCAGTTTGCACTGCTTTTATTAGCAACCAGAGACGGTCAGGGCTCAGCAGGGCCTGGGGGCTTGGCAGAGAACCTGCCCTGCTGAGGAACTCAAGTTCTGAAAAGGCTTTCTGCTTGGGTCATCATCTGAGATGGAAAGAATTTCTGGATGGGGAAGAAGGCAGGTCAGGAGAGCCCACGTTATTCCTGGTGGAGGGGTCCAATCCCACTTTCCTGGCTCTGAAATGACCCGCTTACCTGGTGACATCTGCAGCTCCTGCAGTTTCCCTGGAAGGAGAAACAGACGTGCTCCCTCGGGCGCTTTTTCACCCCTCCTGTCTCCTGCCCCTCCTCCTCCCAGACTCTCTAACTCCTCCCTGTTCCCCCTTATTTCTCATCTCTCAGCAGACACGCTGCCTGAACACAGGGAGCCTTGGCAAGTACCGCCCGCCCCCAGGACTCTACTTCAGGATTCAGAAGAGAAAGTGGCTGTCTCCGGGGCCAAAGGGCCTGTGCCTGGGTCAAGGGCAGCGGAAGGAACTAGGAGGTGGTGGAGGACCTTGCTGGAGGAATATTCCCTGTAGGACTGAGTGCCTTGTGGGGCTGCTGGAACCTTGAAACTGAGGTCTAGGCAGAGACACTGCGCAACTCAGGAACGCATCTCCTGGGAAGGTTTTCCGCTTGTCATCATGTGAGATGAGAAGAATGGCTGCATGGGGAAGAAGCCACGTCAGGAGTGCCCAGGTTATTCCTGCTGGATCCTTTCACACGCCTGCACCCACAGCCCTCTCCCTTCACCCTCCGGCCTGAATGGTGCAGAGAGGCCCTGCACACCCCTTCCTGGTAAGGCACGACTTGCAGGCAGGGCTGTGATGATGTTCTTTCTCCTGAGTCCCACTGTCTTCGGTTCCCACTGGCTAACACCTAGAGATCTCTTCAAGAAAATTAGACATACCAAGGGAATATTTTATGCAAAGATGGGCTCAATAAAGGACAGAACTGGTGTGGACCTAACAGAAGCAGAAGATATTAAGAAGAGGTGGCAAGAATACACAGAAGAACTGTACAAAAAAGATCTTCACGAACCAGATAATCACAATGGTGTGATCACTCACCTAGATCCAGACATCCTGGAATGTGAAGTCAAGTGGGCCTTAGAAAGCATCGCTATGAACAAAGCTAGTGGAGGTGATGGAATTTCAGTTGAGCTATTTCAAATCCTGAAAGATGATGCTGTGAAAGTGCTGCACTCAATATGCCAGCAAATTTGGAAAACTCAGCAGTGGCCACAGGACTGGAAAAGGTCAGTTTTCATTCCAGTCCCAAAGAAAGGCAATGCCAAAGAATGCTCAAACTACCTCACAATTGCACTCATCTCACATGCTGGTAAAGTAATGCTCCAAATTCTCCAAGCCAGGCTTCAACAGTATGTGAACCATGAACTTCCAGATGTTCAAGCTGGTTTTAGAAAAAGCAGAGGAACCAGAGATCAAATTGCCAACATCCGCTGGATCATAGAAAAAGCAAGAGAATTCCAGAAGAACATCATCTTCTGCTTTATTGACTATGCCAAAGCCTTTGGCTAGTGGATCACAACAAACTGTGGAAAATTCTGAAAAAGATGGCAATACCAGACCACCTGACCAGCCTCTTGAGAAACCTGTATGCCCATCAGGAAGCAACACTTACAATTTGACATGGAACAACAGACTAGTTCCAAATTCGGAAGGGAGTATGTCAAAGTTGTATACTGTCACCCTGCTTATTTAACTTACATGCAGAGTACATCAT